GTTCTTTCTCTGGGTAGATCTACACTGCTAGCTACAGCGTATTAATACCCAGGACTCCAGATACACACCCAGGCCTGCTAACCCTGCCTGTGAGCGTACATGCTGTGGAGCTGCTTGTGACCCATATGTGTATAATGGTGTCCATATGATGTTGCTGTCACGCAGGTTTGGTGCGAGGACTTTGACTGGCGCTTTGCACATTCCCAGCAACCCGCTCACTTGAGTCACTCTGTGCAATAGTTTATGGTGTATTCCAGCAGAGCTCACCGGTCCTTCCCTGTGTATAAAGGTAGAGCATAGACTCATAGACGCTAGGGCTGGAAGGGACCTCGGAAGATCATCGAGTCCAGCCCCCGCCCCGGGACAGGAAGTCAGCAGGGATCATAGGATCCCAGCAAGATAAATATCCGAATGTTTCTTGAAGGCATTCAAGGTAGGTGCTTGAACCATGTCCGGCGGCAGTCTATTCCAAACCTTGGGGGCTCGGAAGGTAAAGAAGTTCTTCCTTATGTCCAGCCTGAAGCGGTCATGGGGGAGTTTGTGACCATTCGACCTTGTCATCCCTTGGGGCGCTCTGGTGAACAGACGTTCCCCCAGGTCCTAGTGAGCACCCCTGCTAAACTTATAGGTGGCCACCAAATCACCCCTGAGCCTGCCAGCTCTGCACACACACATCCATGCCAGCCCAGTGCCAAGCTGTGGATCTGGCATAGGAGGGTGAACTGTTCTTGCCGGTAGCTCCAGTGCTGTTGCAGCTGGAAACAGATTAGGAGGGTGGGAGACATCTCAGGAGCTGTTTCTGACCCTCCAGAAGAAACGGCAGATCTTGGTGGGGAGAATCGTTTCTGATAGATGCTGATATGGCAGAGTGAAGATGCCCATTTCATGGTTTAGTTTAGTCCCTGTGGATTCCCCCTACATAAACCAGGGCTTGCCTGCACAGTAGTTCCTAAAGGATGGTGTTGTAATTTCATTAAAAGGATGATGGTGTAACATCATGTAGGAAACCTGGGACAGCCAGCAGTGCTTCCAGAATGTGCGCATGAGGACACAGGACTTTGTGAAGTCACTTGAGACACTTGCCCCAATCCTCCAGAACTAGGGCATACAAACGTGGCTACGTCAGACTGCTGTCAGTTTGTGCCTAACTTGCTTGGTGCTTGGAAGTCAGCTGTCAGTGCTATGGCAATGGAGGTGCTTGAGGAAGTTAATATGGTGTTTTACGGGAGGTGGACATCGGGAGCGTGCCTGAAATAACTGGCTTGGAGAAAGCAAACTTCCAGACCTGTGCAGAAGCTGTCAGTGATGGTTGTGTAGCCATAGCTTTCCTGCCACAAGAAGCATTTGAATGTCGCCTGTAAAAATTTTGCAGGCCTTGGTCAACTAGAGGGAGACGGGTTCAGGACCATCTAGGTATGCCAGGACACTGAGCATTTACCTATCAGGAGAAAGCAAGAACTCTATTTCCCCCCCAAATAACCTGATTATGAATTTATTCCTGCTGTGACTCTTGTGCTACCTTCTACCACCCTGGTCCAGGCTCTGACATCAGGGCACCTGGCAGAAAATGATTTAGTCACAGGCTGATCTCACTGTGTGTGTTTGGCAGGTAGAAGGCAAGATGGAAATGCTCCCAAATCTCTTTGGATTTCAGTCTGGCCAATTCTGTCTGGATGATTGGGCATGACCCATCCTGCACAGCAGCTCTGAGAAGGGGAAGCCATTTTTTTCTGGGAATGAGTTTTCAACATTGTTTTCAGGCCCTGTTTTGGAAACCAGTGTGTAGGCAAGCAAGAGAAATCAGTAAGGATGATAAAAGTGGCCTGATGTGCCCACATCTTGGATTTGCAGGGCGTCACGAAAGAGGAATCGTGATGCTGTGAGTGGGGAACACGCTGTTGCATGCTTAGCATATTTGATGTGATAAGAGCGTGATATTTTATTACATCCTTTGGATACAATTTCCTGCCTGTTCCGTCTTTCCCAAAGGCTTGTGCGCCAAAGCATTGTGCGACCAAGCTCATTCACAAACAAAGAAGTAGATTTTCAAATAAGTAGTGTTTGGAAAGCTTTGCAGCTTCCCTGCTGCCTGCAAGTAAAGAAGTGTTAAAATAACTAAAAAACTAAGCACAAATATGCAAAAGTCTTCTATCAGGTCAAGTACAAAGACTCTAGTCTGCTAGCAGAGGTGGCTCATAGAAGTGTACCTGTTTTCCTTAGCCTCTTTTGAACTGGGTTAACACAGCTGCACGGGAGTAAAAACAGGAGACATCTGTCCATTAGAGTCCGTGGAGTAATTCACAGCTCATCCAAGGGCTGCATTGCCCAGTGGTTGCATTGGCCCTAAGGTGCACTGGTGTAGAGAAGAGTGCTGGGCTCCTGCTTGGCTTGTCAGCCACACGCGGTGTTGAAGGGGTGAAATTCTGCTGCTGGCAAAGGTTTGCATCCCAGTTCAGCATCCTGTTCACGCTTTCCAAAATGTTTTCTCGCTTCAGTTACCGAGGTTTAGAATCTGAAGCAAGGCCTTCAGTGCCATAATGGTGTGACCGTGTGTAACAGTGTGCCTGTATATATAACTCTGTTGCATGCTGGCATTACGTGTGCGCGCATGCTAAACCCATAATCCCTGCTGCGATTCCATGGTTTTTTTCTCTGTCGATCAAGGAAAAGTCAATACCACTGAAACGCTAGTTGGATTTGGGGTTTCTCTCCTTCCCCTTGCTGCCTTCTCCTTGGATCTCATCTTGGATCATATGCACTTGGGGAGGGGGTAGAACTGAGGAAGGGGAGAATAGGGAAATGGTGCTGCTTCCCCCTTCATATGAAGCAAAATCCACCCCGTTGCCCATAAAGTAACCACAGTGTTATAATTCATGACTCTGCAGTCCCACCATGCTGCAGTTTCTGTATGATATTAACAGCTGGCAGCTGCACTCACCCAGCAGTAGCTCCTGTGATGCCCCGTGCTCTGGAGCCAGCTGTGTTATCTGATCCAGCTGTGACATCCCCAGCTGTGTTATCTGATCCAAGGCCTGTTCCAACCCTGGGTCTGTATGGAGGTCTCTTCTTGTGACTTTCTCCATCTCTGGTGCTATATCCCCATCTCCTCGAGCTCCGGGCATCCAGGACTGTAGACTGCATTGATGAGGACTTGGTCAAACTCCTACACAGTAGGGACAATTAGCTGGGGAGATGCTGGACTTGTGGTTGGCTGCCTTCAGGATTTTCAAGTGATCATTGTATTAGATAGTTGTCCACTGGATTGCCTCCTGTACCACTGTCTTTGAGATACAAGGATATGAGTCCCAGATTTGCGTGCTTGTCCACAAACCGTGTTGGCTGCATTCATACCAGAGATCAGCCCACTCGGTGTGGTTTTCCAGCCAGCTTGTAGGAACCCACTGAGCTGTCATCTTGTAGAGCTATTAGGTTGAGGTGAAGTGAGTGTCACATTAAATACAGCCGGCCCCATGGGATGACAGGCTAAACGTTGACCATATGTATATGAACCAGCATGTAGTCTCTGATATGTGGGAGGCGAGTGCAAAATGAGTGAACAGAAGGATCCAAAAATACAGGCTCAAGTAATTGTGAGATAGTACTGAAGGACTCTGAAAACCTGGAGTTTGCTATCTTTTATTAGACCAACAAGAGTTTTGCCAAAAAAAACTTGCAAAAATCTTGTTGGTCTAATAAAAGATCTCATTCTCTACTATGAGTCCTTATTGCCGTTTCCTCTCGACCAATACGGCTGCAACCTGGATACCTGGACTTTGCTATGCAGTTTTTCTCTACATTCTTACTTGCAAAGTCAGAGCCGGTCTTAAAGAGAAATCTGTGCTCCAGCCTTGCATCTCAAGCAAGTGAGCTTGGGCTCAGAGTACCAAACCATGGGTCTGGGTATTTTGTGTGAGGTTGTCTGGGGGGGGCGGTATTGGGCTAAATTATGGATAAGAGCTTGGCAAAAAAACAAAAAATGGGCAATCAATATGCTTTGCGTGCATCCTATGTCTGCACTGGAATTTGTACTTTTGTTGCCAATCCCTTGAAGTATTTAACACACTTGTGAAAATAAGTCTTGGACACCTTTCGTTCTAGCTCCTGGATGTTTGTGGTTTATACTAGGTATCAAGTTACGGTGTTGCAGTTGTAGTTTTGAAGATGCATTTGGAGAGTCTCCAAATTTTCCTTAACGAGGGCATTAATGACCTTGAGTTTATTGACAGTCGGCTGCAGGTAAAAGTTCCAATGAAGATGCATCTTGAAAATGCTCAGTAGAGCATAAGGGCGATAGTAATTGGTTTAGTATTAAAATCCTAGGAAAAAGGGTTCCTGCCTATTATTAGTGCAGTAGGGCCAAATTGCGCTAGGAGCTGTACAGACAGAACAAAAAGCAGTCCATGACCCAGTGAATTTGCTGCCTAACTATGCCTAGTTAATGCATACTTTTTAAAATCAGTGTGTGCGCCCCTGTGGCTGGCTATTTGTTTGCACGCTGTTCTGTACATTCCCGTTTTGCAGCTGCGTCTGGGTCTAATGTTTCCCCTGTCTGTGTTCAAAGCGGTTCCTCGCACCAGTGCCACGCAGTGCAGCTCCGTCCCTGAACCGCGCTACGGCAGGAGGATAGGCAGCGATTTCTCCGTTGGAGCGATCATCCGATTCGAGTGCAGCGCCGGATACGCTCTGCAGGGATCCCGGAGCATCGAGTGCCTGACGATGCCCGGAGCGCTAGCTCAGTGGAACGTCTCTGTGCCGACCTGCGTGGGTATGTAAAGCCGGTGAGGCAAGGTCCTTTGAAAACCTGCTTCTCTTATCCGCGTGGAAGAAGTCTACAGAGTCATCCTACAGAATAGAGAAATAGCACCTTCTGTAAATTAGAGTAGCCTGGCCAGGACTGCCCAAACGTCGCACTGCCATCCCCACCTTGCCATTGGATTAGTGGCCCCGGTGTCCCGGGTGCTGTGAAAGCAGCAGGAAATCTGCCTCCCTAAAGAGCCTAAAATTATCAGCCAGCTCTTGTTGCTTTTCTGCCGCTAGATGCATTAGTATGACAGCCAAGTTCCTCCCCATTCAACATCTCATTTGCTTTATTTCAGTGCCTTGTGGTGGAAATTTGACTGAGCGCAAGGGTACCATCCTTTCTCCTGGCTTCCCTGAGCCTTACCTAAATAGCCTCAACTGCGTGTGGAAGATAACAGTCCCTGAAGGCGCGGGAATCCAGGTATCATGTTAACAGCTGTCACTTCAGTACGATATTGAGAAACAGAACCCACGGTGCCTGGTGAACTTGTACAGGGCAAGTACTATCAAGCTGCTGCTTGGAAGGAAATCAGTCAAATGTATATGTCTATTCTGAAATCAAATATTCATTTCCACCATTGCTACCAAAGGTGGGGGACATTTCAGTGGGATGTCTGTCTTGGGGACTTCTCTGCTTGGAGAATTGCCCAGCTCAGCTACAGAAGCATAGAGCTCTAAAAGCAAAATAATTGTTGCCTGTTTTGGGGGAGCGTCCACTGCTTACATTTGCAAGCTGAAAGCAACTTAAACCACGCTTGAAAAAGATTGAGTCTCCTCAAGAGGAATGACACAGGCAAGAGCGCTAGCAGTGTGCATACGGTGTTTTGTTTCTGCATAGATGATCCCTGTATTTTGGGGTCTGTACAGAAGCCACGTTGCAAAGCCTGAGGATGTCCAGTATTGCAGAGGCCAGGCCCTTTGCTAAAGTTCCCATTCTGTGCGTCCAGGCTTCATTTTGGTAGGAAGGTGTTTTCGCTGTGCGTTTACTGACATCCATTAAGAACATAAGAGTACAAGAAGTACCACACTGGGTCCATCCAGCCCGGTATCCTTTCTCCAACAGTGGCAGAATAGGTCTCTCAAATGATCTATCCTCTATTCAGTACCCTCCATAGCATCCACCATTTATTGGTTTAGAGATGCCAGAGGAAACATCTCCAACTGTTCTGTTCAATAGCCGTTAATAGATCTGACAAGGTGCTTTGGGTGAATCTGACATCTTATTAGACCAACTTAAATAGTTGGAAAGAAATTTTAGCAAGCTTTTGGGGTTAAAAACCCTGCATCAGGCTGAGGAAGTACAACCTACCCCCCTGTATTAATAGATCTATCACCTGTCAATTTATCCAGTCCCTTTTTGAAGCTGCCTTCACCACCTCTGACGGCAATGAATTCCAAAAGTGAACTAAACATTGCATTAAAAAGTACTTTCCCTTGTTAGTTTTAAACCCGTGCCATCCTCATTTCAGTGGGTGCCCCTCATTCTCGTATTCTAGGACTTGATAAGCAACAGTTCCCTGTTCATGTGGTCCACACCCTTCATGATCAATTGATGTAGGTAAAGGAAATTCCCTTAATAGGGCAAGGAATCAGGACTCGTGGTAGAGGTGATTAGCTTTTATTAGACCAACTAGGTTTTTGGAAAAAAAGAAATTCTTTAATTGCCTCCAGACAATTTTTTTCTTTACAAAGGCAATTACAATTTTCTGTCATTTTTTTTCTAGACAAAAGAAAATAATCTTTAATTGCCTCTAGACCAATATGGCTACAACCTGGATACCTGACTTAATAGGGTAATTCGTTCCATGCATGTGATAATTTCTGGGCTTCCTTCCTCTTCGTGCTATTTTGTTTCCAGGGAACTTGTCCATTAAGTGCTTTTATTTTTCTATCAGGCATTTGTTTAATAGAGTCCCCCCACGCTCTCCCCCATTCCTCACATGACACTTGTAGCTGCTGGCACAATACAGCAGCTGTGTCTTTTTTAACGGGTTTATCCTGACATCAGGTACTGTTTTATTACCTCCAGTGCCGCGGTTCAGCATCTCACATGAAGTGACCGGGTCGGATCCTGGTCGTGGTGACAAGGGCACCAAGCTGACGGCCTTTTGGCTTCTGGGTTGTTTGCGGTTTGCAATGGTGCAGTGGGCAAGAGCAGGATCTGGCCAGCCTGTGGCTTGTCACTTTGGTGACAACTTGTTAAAAGGGAGAAGGTGGGAGGGAGAAAAGTGTCCCATGCCCTGTACTGAAGCTGTTGCTACTTCCAGACTGGCAAATTTCTCCCTCTTGTTTTGTGTTTGAAGTCCAATTAACAGAGTGTTTTGGAAAGCTGCAAAACTCATCATAGATTACTTCCCACTCATTCAGAATTGTAGCCATTAAAAGAAGGAGAATCGCAAGAGGCTTTGTTTAGCTCAGCAAAACATTTGAACAGTTGAGGCATTTTGCAAATTGTTTGGGACTCACAGGATCGAAAGGTGATAATTAATTAACTTCAGGGTTTTTTTTAAAAGCTGATCTCAATAGACATCTCTATTCTTCTCCCCTCTGCTTTGAGGGCCACATTTCAATGGGACTGTTCTCAGCGCATGTCGTTGCTAACTGTTTTTACATATGTACACTTCGAATGGAAGGAAGTGAATAATAAATCAGGCTATTAAGGGGAGAAAAAAAGCAAGCCTTTATTCATAAGTGCTCTTCCCCATGACTGCCTGCTCCATGTCTCAACGATGCATCTTAGAAACCTTTGCATAAACCGTCAGAGGAAATACAGCAAGGGTCAAAGCAGGAGACCAGCCAGATGCTTCCCCCCACCCAACAGAGCAGCATGGACATAAAGAACAGAAAAGAAGTGCTTGAGTTTATGAACACAAGGGATGAAATCATCTCACTTCAAAGTGAACATCAGTTCAGTTATTTCCAAATTCTTCGCCGATACGGCTACAGCCAAAAACCTGAGCAGACTGGTTCATTCTCCAGTACCATGGGGATAAGTCGTCTCTGGGGGGCTGATGCTTGGGCCTTCTGCACAGTCCTCTACTGCTTGAGGGGCTGGGGTACCCGAAGGGATGCTAGTAGCAGTGTCCACACTATAGCGAGGAAAGGATGCTTGAGCCAGTGGTGACAGAAAGCAAGCTGCAGCCCCTTGGACTTTGGCCCATAAAAAAGATAAAAGGAAGCCAAGATGCAAATTCAGGTGGCTTCCCAAGAAAAGGCCAGCATTGATTTGTCATACTGTTTTTTTCCTTTTGGAAGTTTTGGGGGTTTTTGTTGGGGTTTTTTTTTTTTTTTTTTGCAGAAGAAAAGATGGCTGGGAGTTGACAGGTGAACCCCGTCACCTTATGAAATTCCCCCCGCCACCGGTAGCAGCTGAGAACAGGGACACGCGAAGGCAAGGCCATCTGTTTGGCCCACATCAGAGTGGAGTTATATTATCCAGCTGTGCTCGGGGCACCGTGCTCCCAAACGCTGTCTCTCTGCTCAGGTGGGCCACGACGGAGCCAAGGCCCCTTGCCCCGGCCCACATCACACTCACCATTTCCCCAATTACTTGCTTTGTCTGCAAAATGTTCTGCGTTATTAGATACTAATTTAAGCATCGGTTTACCCTCATTTTGTACAACAATTAAAGGTTAAACAACTGTAAATCAGAGGAGGAGGCGAAATTAAAGCTTTCTTAGCAGCAGCGAGGCAGCGACAGGGTTTTTATGTAATCAATGCACCAGCTAGCACTTCTGCCATGAATTATTCATTCATGGAGCGAACCTTCCTGAGTGAATTAATTTATATACATGGCAGTAAATAGATGCAGATCCCTTGTGAATCCACATGTCAGCCTAGAATTAGAACCTTAAAATGTTTATGCCTTTAAATAAAAAAGGGGGGGGAAATTAAATAAATTGCAAAAAAACCAAAAAAAATTAAACTAAATAAAACCCTCCTTTGTTCTCAATAATGTACATCACAATTGGGGTGTAATTATGCCTGCTGAAAGGTATTGACTTGGTCAGTGTGATCGGTAATGGCTCCATAGGGGTCATTAGCATTCTGGCTAGACGGAGTCCATTTGTTTAAAAAAAAAAAGACCCTGAAAAGTTCTCTCAAAGTTCTTCTGTTATTCAGAGTAAATCAAGCAGGAAACAAGGTTAAAATGCCAGAAATTATTGTTTGGGTTTTTTTTTTTAATTATTATTATTTCATCTTAATGGGGAAGAAAAGGAGGCAGATGTTTGGAATGGATTTGTCAATGCAACCTTGCAGGATATTAGAAGAAACAGTGTTCACATAAGACTTCCAGAGTGGAGAAAGGCTCTGTGTGTGTGTGTGTGTGCGCGCGCACGCGCGCACACGCATGTGTGCACAAGGGGGGGTGTGTGTGTGTGTGTCCATATGTGTAATCAAGGTTTGCAGAAAACAAAAGTAGCTTCAAAGTGCTCTGTCCTGCTCCAACTGAAAAACCTTGTCCTGCAAATGCTTCCTGCTGAGCTGTGGGCTATAGAGAGCCATTGCGTTGACTTCAACAGGGCTACTTTTGATCAGACACACTAGGGTTAGCAGACAGCATTTGTTCACCGTGATCTCAAAGAACCAAGCAGCTGCAGTAAGCAGATGTAGGAGGACTGAAAATAAATAGGAATCTGTTCACTGCATTCCTGAGGGTGGTAGGGACTAGGGAACCCCGGTTAGGCACTCCAGCTCACATCCCGCATACAGATTTTCTCAGGTGCTGAACAGGCATTGAGTGTAATGGGAATTATCAGTTCCTCTGAAAATCAACCTGCTGCTTTAAGAGCCTAAATAGGGTTTAAGTACCAAACTCTGGGTCCCCATGTTTGACCATTGAAGCCACGGGTGAAAAGGGAAAGCTGCTGTTGGCAAGGATGCATAAGGGAGCGAAGTGTTCACGTAACACTGACTTCCAGTGGCTGTTTAAAAATTCCAGCCTACGTATATTAGGGGGATGCGAGGGAGAATATTTGGATCTCTCAAATACTGTCCGGATCTGTCTTTGTAGAAATCAAGAAACAAAAAACCCACTTGACAGTCACTTCCGGTGTCTGCACTGAAGACAGAGTCATTTTTGAGTGCAGCCAAGGAGGTGCCCACCCTATTGATGTGGATGATTTTGGTGATTTCCCTTTAAGTCCAGCTTTGGTTTCTTTAAAATAAAGTCCCAGCTCTCATCACTGAAGAGATAAATAGAGGTTAATGTAAAGAACTTAAAAGCCTAACCTCTTTTTTTTATTTTTTTTTGAGCCAGGCTCTTATTTTTTGAATGCCTGGAGGTGGTGATGCTGCCCAGGGAAGCATCTTCCTTCTGAAAACATCCTGTTTTGAAGTATAAACCTGTAGAGTTTTGCCTGAGTTTCACAAATTTGCAACCCAGGGCCGGATCCTTTGCTAATGTTAGTCAGCTGTGAAGTCAAGTGCTGTGTCAGTTGGCACTAGCGGAGAATGCAGGCCGTTATGTGAGCGGAGGCTTTCCAGTTTCACTGTAAACACTTCAGAGAGCCCAACCGGTGACTCGGTGACAACAGTTGTGTAATTCTCGCAATGCATCATCAGGAACATAATAGCAGTTCCTAGTGAGATTAAACCCTGGGACGCATAGTTATCTTTATTAATGGCTCTGTCATTGGTATTACTTTTGCTTAACAGCAGCCTGATTTCACAATGAATTATATTTGCGCTTTCTTTTTTTAACATTTCAGATTCAAGTCATCAGCTTCGTTACTGAGCAGAACTGGGATTCCTTGGAAGTGTTTGACGGAGGGGATAATACTGCCACCATGTTGGGTAGTTTCTCTGGTAGGTGCCACCCCAAACTCCTATGTGCAGTATTGAATAAAGCATGTAAGCACATGCTTAATTTCCCTTGACTTCTATCAGACTTGAACATATGCTCAGGATATGCTTAAGTCAGTGATTCTCATTACTGCTCAGGATATGCTTAAGTCAGTGATTCTCAACCAGGGTACCAGGGCACCCTGGGATGCCATGAGATCCTTTTAAGAGTTTTGCAAGGCGCCACGAATATATTTGCATTGTGAGGTTCATCAGCACCTACACAGGATTCACAAAGCAAACCCAGAGGTTCTCAAATAGGAATCGGTAGCATCAAAAATAGGCTAACCTCTTGGGATTTTTCTGAGTTCTTTGCAACAGAAGAACTGCTCTGTTATTTTTCTGTAGTCAAAAAATGAGTGAAAGCAAAGAGCTGGTATTTTCCAAGGGCTGCCTTGAATCTAAAAAGATTGAGAACTGCTGCCTTAAGTGTTTTGCAGAATAAGAATGGGTATAAGCATGTGCTTAAAGAGATTTTTTTCTCCTGTATTAAACCAGGCCCTTGAACCTATGTCTAGCTTCAGGAAATACCAGCAGGGAACTTTAAACATGGCAGCAGCTGGCCAGGTTTGTAGTCCTAGTATGGCATTTACTGTTAGCAATCAGATTTTTTTAGAGAAACTGCAAGAATGCGTTCCTCAAAGTGGGCTCTGGGAAGGTGGACTCAACTTGCATGCCAGCAATAAAACCAGCTTGTTTCACCGTGGCTTGGGACGGGCCAGTTTGTCTTGTGTGTGTGTGTCCACACTAGAAAATGTTTTGCCTGTTTTCCAGCAATTGTGCAGCAGCAATGGTGTGGGCGTGAGTTCATATGTGTCTCAAGTATTTTTCACTTTTTTTCATCAAAATTGCTCTGAGCCCTGTCTAATAGCCCTTTTGCCATTGCTGGAAATGAGAGAGGATATTGTAGTAAGGAAGGCCCCACAGTCTCATTTTTACTCATCTGAAAAATAGGCGCAATACTATTGCATTTTCCCTAACCTGTAGACTGCTAGGTGCAAAGCTGCCTCCTTCTTGGGATCCAGCTTTGCTAATCATATAAAGAGTGGTTAGAGAGCATCAAGACCAACTCAATCCTTTCCCCCAGATTGCCTGCACCTAAGGTTCCTCCCTGGATACAGCTCAGCCCATATCCTAGATCCTCTCTATACAGGGAGAGCTTCTCCCACCTGCTTTACATCCATGTGAGATAACAAGTCACCTGAATCACTGAGTCAGCAGGAGCCACATAACTTTTTCCATGCAGAATCGGCACTGAGTGGAGGGTTGATGGCAAAAACTGCCAACCCCAGTCACGCAGTCATGAGATTCAATTCTATTCAACAAATGTTTTTTAAAATGCTTCGAGATCCACAGATGAATGGGGTTGGGCACCCTTCATAAAGCGTGGCAGCCTTTGATTCCAGGGTTGAGTTGGGTTGTGGCTTTTCAGCTCAAAACACGGGGGTCTGCTACTGTAACAGCAGGTGAGCCTCGGGGGACACGCTCTGGTGTCTCCAGTGACTCGAGCTCTATTCCCTTCTCTTCTCATCATCAAATCTCCCCCTCGATCCCTCAGTCTGCCTGAACTCCACCACATCAGACTTTACATGATGAAATACATTGCAAGGCTTTGAACACATCTTTGCAGACCAGCCTTGGATATTCCTCTGCCGGCCTCATTAGGACCTGATCAAAACAAGCAGGGCTGTTCAGTTAAAGGACTTTCTGTTCTCAGACTCGTCTCAGATTTATGCAGCAAATCTCTGAAGACAGAGGGGAGGAGAAAAGAGGTCTCATCCATAGCTATGTACACCTCTTATTTTCCTAGGTACCACAGTGCCAGCATTGCTGAACAGCACCTCGAATCAGCTCTATCTGCATTTCTACTCGGACATCAGCGTGTCTGCTGCCGGTTTTCACCTGGAGTACAAAAGTAAGAGCAGCTCCCCCGATGTGTTCCTGTAAGGTGCATGCTATAGCTTTGATCCCACTGCTCCTTACGTGCTGGGTCAGATGGTTATGGGCCAGGGTGGGTGGGCACCAGTCAGGTCAAGAGTGTAGTTTTTAACCCTGTCTTAGGAAGCAGTGAGCTTCAAGCCTGCCATGGGTCTGTTCCCTGGCTCTCAAGCATAGAGAGTATAAAAGAGATGCAAGTGCAGCTGAAGGAGACCTGGCTGTAAACATGGTCCTTATCTTCTGGGCAATGCAGTTACCTATGGGCTGCCTCTGTTTGACCTCCGTTCTGCTATAAGGTGGGAGTATCTTGGCAGCCGGTGGGATGGATCTACTGCACAGTCCTGTCCTGCTTGCCATGCTAGGCCTAGCATTTATACATGCGGTGCTCTCTGCTGTGTGGCCTCACTCTTCCACATGCAAACAAGGTGTAGTTGACCATGGCAGGGCCACGTTTGGCCAAGTTTTGTGATAGGAACTGAATAGAAAGCCTGTGGGAAGATGTTCTGGCTAAAGTAGGTGCAGCCTAAGGCAGTCCAGGGAGTGTCTTTCCAGTCCTTCCTCCTGTTCAGGTTTCTTGGAAAGTTTACTGCTCAAACCAGTGCAGCTTGGAGGTGTTGCATTGAGCAGCTGTGATGTAGATGGAGTACACTGATGAGATGTTTGCTGCCTAGTGGGCAGGGTATGGGAGCCTCATGTGGATTTAGATTGGAAGATATCAGAGCAGGCCTGAACTGTATCCATAGGTTGCTGAAGGAAAGTGGGTCTCACCAGTGTTAGAGAAGCTAAAGTGGGAGATATTCTCTTTAGGAAGGGCTGGTGGGGTGTCCTCATAAAGCTTCCTTCCCCCATATTTTGATTCCTCATTTTGGATTGACCCTAGCCAGTCCCCGAAAAGGCAGTGCAGTGGTTAACCCACAATAAACAACCATGAAGTGCTGACCGCTATCAGCTTCCAAGTAGCGTGGCTTTGGGTGGAGGAATGATAGCTAGAAGAGCATCCAGGAACCCCATAGATACTGTATGAGTTCAAGCCTGCCTCTCACGAATTTAAATAGACATGCAACAACAGAGGCATCAATACAGCTTGTGCACACATGGATGCGACACCCCCAGCAGGAAGGCCAGTGAATTCTCCACTGATGGCAGAGTGGCAAATGCAGAGAGAGTCGGACTCGCTGGCTCCTTCCCTGTGTGGGTATCGGCAGCGCTGAGCTGATGAGAGATGCGCTGGGACTGATGTCTCCGTTAGCTGAAACTTCCTGCAGGCGATGTGAACATAATTGTTTTTTGCTGGACACCAAATCTGACAAGTGCTCACAATCATGAATCTTGCCTTCAGCTCTTAAGCCAGACAGTTGTTTATTTGGTTTTATTTTTCAAGGCAGCAGATAGATTTAAAACTGTATTTCACCTGCAAAATAGTAGAGGACCCTGCTGTCTGGCTGCAGGGGCTGTGTGTACTTGCTTGCCAGGGTGCATTCTGTGTATGCATTTTCAGAGCCCGTGTGCTGTCTCGGTAAAAGCAGAACTGATGAAGATAAGGAGGACTTTGGAGGGAGGCTGTGGATCAGCAGACTGAGCATGGGTGCAGGGCTTAATGCAGTGTGTCCCTGATTTCCATAGGAGCCCACGGAAACATCGATCAGGCAGATAAGTTATTCATATAGTAGCAGAGAGGCCTAGATCAGGACACGGAGGCCCTTTGTGCCTGGTGCTGTATGTACAGACAGTATGACGACCATCCCTGTCCCAAATAGCTTTAGAGTCTAAATTTGACCTTTAGCTGAGTCCTGGATACATTATATCAGGTGTGCCACAAGGTAAAACTTGCCCCCTCCCTGAGTGCCACTCCAGTCCTCTTCCCCGTCCGATCTGCTGCTCTGCTTTCCGCTCCCTGCCCTATCTGTCCCATTTCCCTTTTTCCTCCCTAGTCTGCCATGCAGAGGCTGCCTGCGCTACATGTGGTCCCCTCTGCACTACATTTCATCGAGCTGGCAGGATCGTCATAGTGACCCCCTCCTCCCTGTCTGGAGAAATGAATAATCTCTTTTCTTCGTCATGACCTGCAGGAAAGGGGGGAGGCACTTAAAATTTTCCTTGTCCCAGATTCCAGCTGTAATGGGGGGGTTGATAGTTTTCGATGAGGGTCAACTGATGCCTGTGTTGCCTGTGGAAGTTGTTTTATCTCCTCTTTTGGATACCAGTCTGGAGTCAGTGGGAGTCTTGCCCTTTATCCCATGTTGCCAGTTCAGTGAAATGGTAACCCTTCTCTATTTTATGCTTGCTTGCCATAGATAGTTAAAAGAGCGGCTTCTTTATCTCCTTGTATAGCACTGAGCAGTAAAGCACGGGCATCAATGTCTTGGCCAGCACAGCACTGAAGCTTGGTTACTGTGATCTGGGGCCCACTCTTACGTTCAGTCTTCAGCCAGAGATGGATGCTAGAGCAGCAGATGCCGTGGTGCTCCATTAAGCACAGTAAGGGCTGGCTGAGATGGGCTGAGCAGCTACTGATGAGCTAGGGAGGGTGGGAGCCAACAGCTGTGGGGAGCAAGGAGCAATGGGGATGTGCATCAGAAGCAGAAATGTCCCCTTCGAGCTGAATGTGGAGTCAATTATGTCAATCCCAAATGTTCAAAAGAACATATGAAACCTCTCCCTCTCATACTCCCAGAGCACGGGAGGTTAATTTTGGTCCTTTTCACCATTCCTGTTCAGTGTTTTGGTTTGGGGATGTTGGTCATGTTATGACTTCTGGTCTCATGTATATGAGCAGGGTGGAACCCAAGGCCTTCAACCCTGAGAAGCCCCTGCCACTTTAATTAAAGGACAGCTTCTTACACTATAAGTAGCAGGTTTTCATTGTAATTGCCATGAGTGACCTTAGCAAATACAACCGCAAAGACCAAGCCAGACCTCAGTCTGCAGTGGTTTGCAGCCTATCCAGACTCCTAAGCATCAAAGCCAGGAAGGGTCACGATGATCATGACAGCTGACCTCCTGCATTGCACAGACTATCAGATGCCATCCGGTGATTCCTGTCTCAAGCCCAGAACAGCTAAGATGCCGTTTCATAAGGCTTCCTAATCAGAGAAACAGAGAGACCAGTGCTGTGAGCAGACACAGGACCCTGGGCTCCCAGATGCAAATGCATAGGTCTTTATCAGTTGAGCTGAAAAGTTCCTTCACCTGTAATTGCTCTAGTATTGTAGTTGCCAGGGATCACTCAGTAGAGGGAGTCCTGCCCCTGGGAAATCTTGTCCACCATCCCACCCATTGCTGTTGCCACTGTCGCTGTTCTAGCTGAGCCCAGCCCTAATGCATCCTGGCTGGAGCAGTCAGGGGCAGCGCTGAAACCCTCCTGACACCCGGGACAACAGGGAAAGCAGCAGTGGCAGGTGGGGGAGGAAAGAGGACATGCCTTTGAGAACATAGGGAAAGTGGGGGAGGAGGGGTTGCATGCTTTGGGGGCTTTAAAAAAGTCCCCAGAGGCTCCCAAGGTGCAGTCTGCCTGCATCAGTGGGTGGGGTAGAGAGGAGGCTGGGAGCGGGGCACAGCCACCCCTGTACAACAGGTAGCTGCTCCTTTGCCAAATCCTGGATCTGCCTGTGATGCCCACCAGCTACCTGGCAGGGCTATGCTGAAGTAGCCAGGCACCTTCAAATTTCTTCTCAACCCTCCACCATGAAGATGGCCCGTAACCTAAGGAGTCCATCTGCTGTAGCACCCCCTTCCCCAATGGAACTTTCTTTCTTTGCTTGAGGAGACTGGCTTGAAGAGAAAACCCGATGACTTTTTGGACCGTTGTTTCTAGCAGGTTTGCAAGTAACCAAAGCTTGGTTATCACGGGTCTGCCTGGAGTTGCAGCCTGGTTGAAGGCTCTAGCAGCCATTGAGCATTTGCAGTGAAGGCTCTAATCCTTAAGACAGATGGTTAAGCACAGGAGGCCAGGAACTTCTGGGTCCAAACTCTTCCTCTTCTACAAACTCAATGTGTCACCTTGGCTAGCCATCTCACTACTGTCTGCCTCAGTTTCCCCTTCTGTGAAATGCAGACAATTGCATGTTGCTTGGAGAGTCTGGACTAGTATAGTAGCACTCTGAGGGTTTCATTGTGTTGGCCCTGAATTTAGGAACCAGATGCCTTGTTCCGAGGGAGATGGGAAAACCCACCCTCAAACCAACCATGACCTTTCCATTAGATGATAGGCTAATGTATTGATACGCAGTGATAACAGAAAAGAAGCAATGCAAACAATTCTGTATATCTACCAAATCCTAGGACTGTCATCAAAGTCAAAATACATTTGGCCAGGATGTAATCTTCACTCTGAGGCTCTCTCTTAGATGTCAGATGTCAGCGTGTCAGCAGCCTGGAGGTGGGACGCCTAGGCCCACACCCTCCTCCAGTAGGGTGGATGAGATGGGCTGGTGGTGTGCCCTCTCCATGGTGGCCTTGGGGACCCTCCTGCAGGGACAGGGATGGGGAGGATCTCAGGCAGAGGTCCCTGGGAGGAGGGATGACAAGGAGGGATGGGGAGGAGGGAACCGTTGTTACTCTCAAGTCTCTGCTTTTGTATTCTCCTTCCTTCCTGATGACTCTATAACCATGGCTATCACTAGCTGGTCTCTCTGTGTGGTTGTCATACATCCACATAGCTTATCACCTGCACACATACTAATTTAGTCTTTCCAGGCCTTCTCCTAATTTGATGTGTTCCCCCAAAACAGGACTCAGGCCCCCCTGCTCTGGGGCCTTGTTAGCTGGTGCCACCATATCTCATGTTATGAAACAGTATGGTACATGCCCCACTGTTTCCCAGGCTGTGTCCTTGGTGGCCTTGTTGTGGTAGACAACCTGTCTGCTTCCAGGGCTATGTGAAACTGTGTGTGTGAGAACCAAGCGTTTAAAAATCGATTAACCTCTGCTGCCCATCCCGAACCATTTTAATGAATATACATATACTTATAAGCCAACTCCCCAAAAGCAAACATTTAAATACCATTTTACAAGCCAACAATTCTCACCATTCATTTTACATGGAAGGGGCCCAAATACTGCAGTGATTATCAGTGGTAAAATCCTAAATAAATAGATAGTTTATTGGTCAGGGTTGAGTATCAGCCATCAAAAAACAAAGCTCCAAGGTTAGGTTTCCAAGCTGGTCTTTTTCTATGAGGTGAAAGGTTTTATTTGCCATTCCTGGAGCTTCGGAGAGACTGGAGCCATTTGAAGACTCGTGTAGGATTTAGCTAATGGATTCCACCAATGGGAAGAAAAAAAAATCAGATGTTTCAAACAAGCTGATGCATCATATTTTGACATTTTCAAAGCTTTTAGATTTTTGTTTGCAAATGTTTCCATTTTGAAACCTGCCAAACCTTTACCAAAAGGTAGGAAAATGGAAGGGGTTTTAAAAGCATGAGCGAGAAATAAAACATTTCGAGTTACCTGAAACAGTTTGTTCAGTTCAGCCCCGCTCCCTCAACTGTACGTTTTCTCAGGGAAATTACGAAAAATCAAAAATCAAATTGCCTCCAAATAAACCCTGAGCGCTGGTCTTAGGAAGTGGGATTGTCCGTTCGCTGCTAGGACTGAAAAATCAATTACTCACAAAGGCTTGGCCTGGAAGTTGGGGGCTTGCATGTGTAAACCCGCCGAAAGGACGCAACAAGAGGTGAGATGACATTTGTAGTGCTTTCTTCCTCTCTTCCCACTGATTCGATTCCTCAAGGAAAAGCCCTGATCTCAACATTATCAAAAGCCAGAGTGAAGTGACTAAAATCCAGCTTCATGAATGACTCAGTGCCCACTGATCTGAACGAGAAGTTATTTCAAGCTGTTCTCTCCGTTCCTTGAAGGTCAAGTGATAGTCATGCATGTGGCAGGACTATGTGTTTTCAAGCAAGGCAGCACGATTCTGCTTGCAGGAGAGTCTCCATCGACCCCCATAGAGCCTCCTTGCTGTTATTTCCCCCCCCACTCTCAGCCCTGCCTCCAGACTGTAGAGCTGAAACAAAACTTGAGCCCTTGGAAAGATGCTGAAGGTTATCTTTTAGTGGCAGCTGCTAGTGTCGAAAGTGAGGGTGGTTCTGGCAGACAGCTGAGCAACCGCGGGCATGAGGTGACTGCTAACTGCTGTCTTAGTTTTATTTCCATTCAGTGTCATAGAAAAGGCAGTTGGGGAGGGGGGAAGGTGGAAGGCATATAGAGGAGAACGTGTCACCTGGCCTGAGGTCTCTAATCAGGTTTGTGATATAACCTTAGCCAGGAAGGAAATGGAAGGAATGAAAGGAGTATTCATAGACTATTCGGTTTGACTGTATCCAAGACCCACGCCTCTTCCTATTGCACATATCACATCAGACATTCGTTCCTTAATTGACAAGCAGGAGAGAAAAGGAGAATGGGGGGGAAAAATTGGAATTGTGCTGCCTCTGTCCCCCACGAGGCTAAATGACACATGACAAAAAAACCCACGCTTTTTATTCTACAAGCACGATGCAAATAAAGCAGAGCTTCTCAAGCAAGGCGGAGCTGGGTTGGTTCCCTCTGGCCCATTCTGCGCTCTTTCCAGTTAGGTAGCGTGCGATGTAGAAAAGCGTGCACGGCGACTGTCTTTGAAATTCTTAAGGAACGGTTAGTAGGGGAATAATTAAGATACCAGACAAAGCAGTCAAGCCCAAGAGTGCGAACAAGATAATGCAGTCCTTTCTGAAGAACGGTAGGGCGGTAACAAGGGGTAGGTTGGAATGGCAGATGCTATGACATAGAAAATCCTTCAAGACACGCTGCACCGAATGCACTCTAGAGGTTCAGCTGTGTTGCTGGTGGCCCCTGGGATGGGATGCTGACAAGTACCTGCAGTGTTCATGCCTGAGGGATACAAAGCTTGAGCAGAGGGGGTTAAAACCAAGACCGGTGAGATGAGATGGAAGAACAGGTAGTGTTCGAGTGTAATTGTCGCCAGGATGGTCCAGGAATTATGCGAGAGGCAAGGATTTTTTTTTTTTTTAAGGGTAATATATTTTATTGGGCAGCTGCATGGTTGGAATAAAGTCTGCCATGTTCTTGAATGCAAGACCTTCTTCATCAGGAAGAAGAGAGACTTTAACTCAAATAGTATGGTAAAATATCATAGTAGCAAGGTCTGCCAGGCTCTGCGATGGCCTCCTGATGGAAGGAGAGAAAGTCCTATTGCTTCAGGCATTCAAAACTGGACTGTGCAACTCGTGGGAAAATTTAGTGTGCCTTGCAGTAGTTTCCAAGGGAGATGGCCAGGTGGCTCTTCCCCATCTCATTTCTAGGTATTCTCCCGAATTACATGTGCACCCAGTTTGTTTGGTCTCTCTTAAACGCCCTTGTGTTAACTGGTTGTGTTAATGAGATTCAGGGCTTCCCTTCTGCCTTTATCACAGCTCATCAGCTTTATCACCATTCCCCAGGAGCTTTCAGCCTTGCTCTTTGTCTTTCACAGCGGTTGGCCTGTCCAGCTGTCCAGAACCGGCAGTGCCTGGGAACGGTCTGAAGATTGGAGAGAGGTACTTGGTCAATGATGTCGTCTCCTTTCAGTGTGAACCGGGCTACGCACTCCAGGTACTGCACATTGCAGATCAAGAACCGGGCAGTGTGAGGGCCGGGTGGGGGTTCTTCTGCTTGACCCCAACTTTGCTCTAAGACGAACGCGCAAACGAACCCCAAATCCTCTAAAAATCCCACGTTGTCTCCTTCAGGGGCACTCTCACATTTCCTGCATGCCGGGGACTGTTCGACGCTGGAACTATCCACCTCCACTTTGCATAGGTAGGATTCTTGTTGCTGTTTATTCCCCTTGTTAGAAGGCCCATTTATCATGTGAATGGACTAGGTGCCGATGCAACACGAAGCACTGGGAAACTTTGGGTTTGAGTTGCAATCAGTGCTGCCAAGGGCCTCTGAAAGTTTTTTTTTGCAGACCCCCGTCTTGATTTCCAGCACTTCTGGTAAACTCCTCTTTCAAGACAACACCCAGGTCTGCCAAGGGATGTCCCTCCTGGGCTCCGCATACATAGGTGTACCCAGCGTACCTCCATCCTGACCAGCCGCCCTTGGCTGTTCTAGTCTTGGGCTCTCACGTCTCTCCCTCGTCTCGACCTGCTCTGTTCCCTGGTCTTCTGGTGCTCAGGGTCCCAACGCAAACTCTATCAGCGCCCTCAGTGCAGCCCATTACCCCATCAAGCCCCATTAGCTTCCTCTGGTCCCAGCCAATATCAGATAGTTCAGAGCAGTGATATTTAAGCTGCAGCTCTCAAACTGGGAGGCTGGACTCGATGATCTTCCAAGGTCCCTTCCAGTCCTAATGTCTATGAAAACTATAAGGAGGTTTCACAGAAAATATTATTGAAGTGCATGTATGTGTGTGAGAGAGAGAAACTGCAAGCATTGGCTCTTTCTTTGCTGTAATCATGATTATTCAAAATATGCTTGCCACTGTGAAAGCATTTTCCCCTGTGGGACTATGCAAATATTAACTAATGTACTACAGAGGGTTATTTTTCTCCTTTGCAACTGGAGTGTGAGTGCCACCGTTCACTGGCGGGAGTAGATGATGATGTGCATCTCTGATTAACACCGCAGCATCACTGAGTCGGAGAAATGCACAACACCGAATATAACGTGCCTGACCAGCCATTCACCTTTACACATCGTGAGAAACTCTGCGATGAGCAGATTATTGTGGGAGCTTTTGTGATTTTGTTGCTTTTTTCTTTTACCCAGAGAATGACTCTGGCCAGAACAGGAGCTGGCCAGATTTGAAACCTATATCCACCCCTTTTCGCTCTCTGGCCGCTGGGGACAATGCGAGGAAGGAGAGGGGATTTTTTCCCAGAGATCCTAACCGACCTGCCTTCTTTCTTCAGTAAAACCAAGTAGCTGCCTGAATCCAGCTTTTGGTTCTCCTCGCGGCCTGCTTCACTCAAAAGGCCATTGGCAAACCTCTCTGCCATCAGGAGAGCTGCCCACTATATAGTGACAATTACTGCCTCAAATCCCACGCTTTCCAGTCTTCGCCCATGACGGTTCCTGTTTCCAACTTTTGTCCAGGCCGACCACATTTGGAGTGGGAGGTCAGACTCGGGGTTGATGGACCAGCGTGGGATCAAGGAGGGGGATCCTGCATCCCATGATCTCTGCAGTCCTGAGCGGGCTGCCTATTCTGTCTGTGCCTTGGTCCCCATTTGTAAAAAGAGGATCATGTGACAACCCCTTCTTCCCTTCTTTGTGTGTGTTTTTTTTAATTTTTTTTTTGTTTCAGCCCTAAGCTGTTTGAGGGCTGGGTCTGCCCATCACTTTGCATAGATCTAACCTGCCCCCTTTTCAACATGCTGTTGTAATACATGTCACCAGTTACAAACCTTTTGCCAATTTAAGCACGTGAGAAGATTAGCAAGAGTGTAGAATGCTATTAATCCTTTCCCACCTAAACCTCACCTCGCAGTCCCATCTCCTATGAAGCATTATTTCTGAATATGTAGCCCAAGCTCCATTTGTCCAGCCCTGTGATCCCACGCTAGCATATGAATTCATGCCTTGCAATTCCAAAATCTCTCCTGCCACTCAGAAACCCATTTCCAGCCTGTCTCCCTGGAACCAAAAAGTACCTTAGACTACAGCGCAGTGCCTTTATCCCATGCCATTTTGACGTCGTCAAAATTCGCCTCTGTTTTTCTTCCGAAACAAAATTCTGGAGAAGTGGACCTCATGTTTGAGCAGCATTTTGATACAGTGGGAGCTGTACTGTCCAACAAAGATTTCGCCAGCTGCTACTACGTGCTACTGAAGAAGGTTAAGTTTGGCAAGGCAACATCTCCATAGCCAAATAAAAGTCACCATCATCTCTTTTGCCTGTGGCGCCACCTGCTAAGAAGGTGCCAAGAGCTGTGGCTGGTTGTGGCCTGGTGCTGTTCCCATGCAGGAGAAAAGGTGTCAGGCTGCTCCTTTCTATAGGGATAGGAGCAGTCTCTAAAGAAACAGATGCATTGGCAGGAGCTTTCAGGACTTTGGGGGGTTATTTTAAAGCAGCATTTTGTTTTAGCAACTCTGGATATTTAATATTCATATTCTTCACTTTATGACTTTGGGAGAGAGACATTTATGCATTTAATAGCATGCGTTAGTTAACAGTTATTTCAGGCTCCTGCTGTTCCAGCTCACATCATTTAAGTTGAAAGTAATTATAGTAGCTAACAGCTCTTTTATCTGATGATCTCCAGTCCAGAAATAAATACAGACATGGTTACAGCAGAAATAAGTGAGCAGATAAGGCTCCTGCCAAAGGCAGCTGCTTCAAAAAGAGCCCAAAGCCCTTGGGCTGAGCATCGCAGTCAAGGAATTGAGGCACAGCGAGCAGGGTGTTGATGTTAGTGATGGGGGAAACCATGACGGTTGTCAGATAAGCAAGTACAAAAGGTTTTTTTGTGTTAGACACTAGTGTTAGACAGCACCCAGCTCATGGGGGTTTTGGCCTGTGATTAAGCACTGGCACAATACAAATAACAATGGGAAAAATAATGAGGTTTCAGCGAGATGGTCCCTCTTGAGCCTTTCTGTTTGTGACAGCTAGAGCAGTAAAAAAGGCCTTTCCACCTGTCTGTCTGTGCACCTCTAATCATTGCTATCGCCCTCGTGCTTCTGAAATGCGGGGGGGGGGGGGGGGGGCACCGCGTTG